TCGCAACCCCCTGCAGTTTTCAATTGGGTACGGTATTGTTCTACCCTTCCTGGCTGAAACTGTTGTGCGATAATGCTCCATGTCATTAAACAGCTGCCGTCTGTCACCTTATGATGAAGTCATTCCTCTCTAAACAATGAGTTTATAAAGCCCTTTTGGGTCCTTCCAGATAAAATTTGCTCGTAAACCAGCAATTATGATCTTTGGAGTACGGTAAGGTGATGCTTGGTTGTGTCTCTTGATAGCAGTCAGAGGCCTTCGAATGGATGTTGTCTCTTTTTTCAGCTTGTGTGGTATCCTGGCAGTGATACCTTGGCTCAGATGTAAATACTTATTACTGTAAAACCTTGGTGCCTGCAAATGCCTCAGTGCTGGGGTGGATTTAGTTGTCTTTACACTTAGAACCTGCTTGTTATCACGTTCTTGTTCTGTTGGCTCAGATGTCTTAAAGCGTAGAACATGAAAAAAAGGCAAATCCCCAGCAAAATGATAAAACCACTAAAATGGGAGGAGGGTTGCAACATGAATTAACCAAAAAACAACAGCGTGAAGGTTCTGTGTAGGGTTAAAAATAGATTTAAAAAACAGGTCTCATGTAAATCTGTTTGGTCCCTGTTAACAGCTGTTTTTCAGCACCTGGTTTGACACCGAGGTCATTAATGGAAGTGAACGTGGATTAACACCAAAGCTCTTAACAGTGATGAATTTAAGAGAGTCCCTTTTGATCCAGACATTGTTTCTGAAGGCTCTCTCTCTGTCCTTAGTGGCCAGTTCACTTTTAGCAGTCTTGCAGTAATTACAGACATGAATGGAAGAGACAGAGAAGGCATCTACCAGGTTTTTCCGGTGCTCCTGCTGAAGCAGCAGGGATATTAAAACAATCTCTAGCTCCTCAGGAGTGGTCCTGTCAACTTGCTGAAATGATGGAATGGTAGTTAGGTTATTAGAAGGAAAATTGGCACAAATTGAGAGAGAAGATGCTCTGGCAGCAACCACAAGCAGCCAGCGACTCAGTGGCTTAATCTCTGCCCTCAGGCTGCTCTCTACGATATAGATGACACCTTGTCAATGAAGATGATGTGCTGGGTCACCCCTGAGTCCAGTGGGCTAAATTGGCCATGGAGGGAAGGATTGCTACAATGTAGAGCCAGCAAACCACATAATCGAATTTTTTCCCTTTTTTTTTTTTTTTTTAATATATGTCATCATTTGGGTACTGACAGTAATTGTCAAGGGATCCCATTCTCATTAGTGTCCCCTAGACACAGCTATCTCTGTACGCTCGTGCTTTCAAGAAATAGTCCTAAACTTTCACAAGGTCTGCTTTGCTTCTTTTGGAAAGTTTTATGCATAGTTTCTCTTTTGCCTTGTTATTTCTTGGGTACAGGAGAAGGGGAAGATGGGGGAAGGTAGAAGCCACTTCCTCTGAGAGGAAGAGAGGCAGAGAGAAGTTAGTAAAAACCCTGCAGCTGTTGGTGACCAAGAGGTCTTAGTGCAGAGCAGTAATGTCTATTGGGTGAAGATGAAGACTGGGAGAGGATAAGGGAATTCATCTTTAGCAGAGGTTATTTGCAAGGGATCAAGGATATTTGAATGGATCTTGTATTGACCCATCAAACGCTCTGACAACTGAACCATCAGGCAGGTGTGGTGTATAGTTTTGTTACTCAGTGGAACTTTCAAGTACACTGCAGGGATCAAATCCATAGAATCTATAAAACTGGGGTGGTTTTTTTCCATTGTTATCTCTCTGTTGTTTTATTCACTAGTTTAGTTTGACTACACTGGCTCTAATCCTACAGCTACTGCTGAAGCTGGGTGACAATGCTACTGAAGTGTCATTGCTGCAACAGTGTTCATGAGCTCCTCAAAATCCCAACAGTGAGACTTGTATTATCCCTCTGAGGTGCTTGAGAGCCTTAGTTTGCGCTGAAAGCAAAGGAAATGCAATTTAGGAAGGAGCCCAGCTGTGCTTGTAGAAATGAGTGCCCTCTCTGTGGCCTGAACTTGTCTGTCAACCCCCCAAAATGTTGGCAGCTCAGTCAAGCCCCTACCTTGTGGTAGAAAAGTATTATAAAGAAAAGTTTAAATTGTGCTTCTTTTTTTCCTAGATCTGCAGGAGTTAGTGGATTGACAGAGCTGTCAGTGGATGGTGGAATTTAGTCCAGAGAAGTTTTAATGACTTGCCCAAGTTAATGCAGGCAGTGAGTGACAAAACCTGTCCCCTGGAGTTATGCGTATGGTAGCCTACTCATGGATCAGAGCCTTTAACCATCTTTATCCAATAAAGCATTTAAGGAATATGATCAATTCAATTTTGGTTCCAACAAAATAGAAAAAGAGCTGAAGCATTTTGTGAAATTAGAAGAGATCTTGGCCTGTGCCTAAATCTGTAGCTCAAAGCAAGAACTTGATGCAGTTGGGGTCATTAGCCTGAGAAAATAGGTACAAATAAGTGTTTGGCTTTGTGGTTTCCTAAAAATTGGCTGATTAGCAATGGAAATTGTGGGGCTCCTTGTGGTAAAGGTGGTTTTGGTAAAGGAAAAAGCACAGGAATTAACTTGTTATTTTTTATTAAACATTACCTTAACTGTAATTTTGGGCTGAAGTAGCAATTATGTATGAATTTCTTAGAGAAGGGATCCAAGAGAAAGAATAGATGAAGGGCATAATTTTAAAATGAACTCAATTCATTTTGTTAATGTAACAACACAGAGTATAAATGAAATGAAAAGTGAAGCCAATTTCTGAAAAAAAAATAGCTGACCAAGGCCAGGGCAGAGTTGAGGGCTTTACCAAGCTTCTACCTTTTCCTGTCTTTGCAGGTCCAAAATAATGTGAAAGCATTTTCCCTGGTTATTTTAAGCTATGGGTCAGGGATTTTTTAACCTCTCTGCTAGGGTTTTTTTTTGACAGATTGGGTTTTACATAAAGGAATAGGAATTCAAAAGAAATAATGGAGTAATTTTCTAGAGGTTTGTGCCATGTAGTTGCTTACTGAAAGTCTTGAAAGTTGTTCCCATGGAGTATCATTCAAGTGAGTCAGTCAAGGTTTTTCTGTTTCTTGGTGGTTGGGGTGGAGATGGTTCTTTGGATGGTTGGTTTGCTTTGGCTTAAGTGTTGTGTCTGTATGGAAAATGCACTTTCTAATGCCTGGAGAAATAATGATATCTCCAGGTGTACTTATGACCTGTAGAACTTATTCAAAATGAAGAGCATTTGTAAGTTGAGAGGGTATTTGTGCATGAAATGTGATATAAAAGTTTGGACCAAATCTTTGAGTCTCTTACTCAGGCAAAACTCCCACTAGAATAAACAGGATTTTTAGCTATTTATGAGTGTGATAAATGCTGTTGTCTGCTGATCCATGTTAAAAACACTTCACAAGCGATGATCAAACTTCTTTTTGTTGGTTTAAAATGTGTCTTTAATATAACTTTCTCCTTTCCACCGTAAGCAGGGAAAGTGCTAAAGTTAATATGGGCATATTAATGTATTTAGGTGAATTATGCTTTCAAGGAGATGAAACACGTGAAACTAAATAATTTGTCTTCACACTGGTTATAGCTGTGAGACAGGGGAATTACACAGGGTTGTTTTCTCCTTGCCATTCTTAGATTTATTTTTTTTTTCACTTGTAAAATATGATTTTCATCTGGTTGTGCAGATTTTGAGCTCTTCCAAGTCCTCCGGTGGGCATTCACTCCTGAACAATCATCAAACAGAGAAATTGTAATTAAAGTCAAATTTTTTTGAAGTGGCAGGTGGCTTTGAAATGCCTGAATTCTGCCATGATCAACTTCTGACACTGCTGCACACAGGCCATTTCCCCCCTGTCCCCAGTGGAAAGATGGGAAGGATGCTCAAAAAGTCGCATCTCATTACTGTTCGTTCTTTAAACTGAAACATCCAAAAATTATCAGCACTTACAGGATCTCTAGCCAAGTAATTAGTTGAAACTACTGTCCTTAATTATCAATAGTGACATAAGTTTGGTAGGCGGGGTTGTATTTTTCTTTTGTTCAGTATTTAAAATTATTTCTTTTCCATCTAAGAGTATGACCCTTCCTAAACCATAGCCTGTCATTTGTCTCCCAGATCAAATTATTTTTTGTTACTAAGCTCTTTTCCCCTGCAAAAGCGTGTGGTTGTTTTGAACTTGGATGTAGCATGTACATCTGGATATCAGATAGGGTAAGAATTTACAGGGGGTGAAAATGTTCAAATTTTTTATCTCCTTTGGCAGGGAGAAAAAGTTTTTGAAGCAGTATTTTAATTTTCACAACAAAGTAGGCAATTTTGACACTGTCTTCTCTTTTCGAATTGTGCTTTTTTTCTTTTTTTTTTTTTTTTATGGCAGCAATAAACAACATGATTTAAACTGGAGCACTCCAGACTGCTTTTCCTTTTTAAAGAGCGTAGGCAACTAATCGGCAGCAACCAGCCACATAGCTGGAGTGTTTTCCATTCTAGGCAATATCATACTAATTTGATGCACACATGGATGCTTCACACAATCTGCAGATTCATCGCTGGCATCTTGCATTAGTCATCTGACAGATTGCCAAGTGTTTCATATTCCTTTCATGTGACTTTATTACAAAACACACACACACACACACACACACACACACACACTGCCTTGTTTCTGCCAGTAGCCAGTTTAGTGAGAATTCACTGCAGTTCTGTTTACAACAACCATGGACAGAAATCTGCACTTATTTGCAACTATCGTCTGCTTTAAAATGCAAACGTCCCGGGTTGTGTTGTGCCGCTCTCGTCTTATATAATGACATTAAGTAGCAGCCTGCAGAGAAAACCAGACTCAATGAAAAATGTAATAGCATTGTTTTTTGTTCGTAATACTTATGCTATTAATTAAATACTGATTTTTTTTTTCTTCTTCGTGCCAATTGACATCATCTTCTGCATCTAGTGCACATGAAAACTGCGTAGTCTCCTAACTTGCCTTCTTTTCAATCTCCTTTTCCACTTTCTAGTAACGGCACAGCTAACAAGATGAATGGAGCTTTGGATCATTCAGACCAACCAGACCCAGATGCCATTAAGATGTTTGTTGGACAGATTCCCCGTTCATGGTCAGAAAAAGAGTTAAAAGAACTTTTTGAGCCTTATGGAGCTGTCTACCAGATTAATGTTCTCCGAGACAGAAGTCAGAACCCTCCCCAAAGTAAAGGTACAGTAGTTGTGCTCTCTTTGCTTTCAGTTTGTTTGTTTTTCCGATGATCTTGCTTGCCTTCAGCATTTCCAAAGAGGTTTGCATCTGGGCTGTCTGTTTTGTAGTATTTTGTGTTGAGCTATGCAGCACTCCTAAGAGGAGAGGACTCCTGAATCCTATCAGATACCGTCTTCCTCCTCTTCTTAAATTGCAGTTTAATTGTCTGTTATCTGGAAGCATACACTCCAACTGTGCAAAAAATAACAAAATATTGCTGTTCTTGTTTAAATTATTCTTGCCCAGAAACATGGAAACCTGAGCATTTGCCTCCCAGGATTAGCTCATGAAAAATATAATTTTCTATTTCCTTTCGTTTCCTCTCTTTGCACCCCAGGTGGGAATTATTTTAAGGATACAAAAGGGAGAAATTATAGCAGTGGGCTCTTGCTACGTCACTGCTCCAGAAGCAATAAAAATTACAAACAGTCCTTTTTCCAAAATCTGATTTCTTTTCTGCAGTCATGTTAAAGGATTGATTTTTGGCACTGATGTTGTTCTAAGTGAAAGGGTTGGTTTTCCTTCCTGCATTTTTTTCTATACATATGTAAAGTATTTTTCCCTAACTATATTCCTTGTTTTCACTGTATGTCTTGTGTGTATTTAGGCATGTGAGAGTTTTGTGTGTTATAGCTGTGTACGTGTAGCATGTGCTTACGTGTAGACTGAAAGTGAATATTTTGTTTCGCAGAATGAATTTTTCTACACAGCTGTATATTTTCATTGATACTTCAGGTTTGGTACATGAAAGCATTGCTACAAATAATTAGCGTAGCTCGGAGGCATAACTAGATGTGCATGTGTGTGCCTGGCTGTAAGGTTACTGGACAGTTATTCATTCTTACTGCACTCCTGGCACTGTTTCTAAAAATCTTCAGAGCACACGTGCTATGGAGAATATCATAAAATGATTTTTGTGGGCTAGCAGCTAACTAACTGTGCAAAACAGCCCTCGCTGGACACTTCTAGTTTGGTGAGAGGTGACTGCAGTTGTGAGAAGCACACAGCACAACCTCAGGTGTGCCTGTGCTTTTGAGCAAAGCACTGCCAAGGCTCAGCGTATCTTCCTTGCCCTGGTACAGGGCAGAGGATCCTCTCGGTGGCTTCTTTGCTGCCCAGTTTAAGCAGTCTGGTGTTCTGAGGGATAGTGGTTTGCTTCTATCACTTCTGGTTAAGAGATTTGTTCCATCAGTGTCACACCAGTGTCAGGGAGGGGGGTTCGTCTCACTGTACCTTGCTGCTAATCAAGTCTCTGTACTAGATTGCTCTTTCCTTTCCCCATCCCTGGAAGTGTTCAAGGCTCTGTTGGATGAGCAGCCTGGTCTAGTGGAAGTTGTTCCTGCCCATGGCAGAAGGATTGGAACTAGGTGGTCTTTGAAGTCCATTCCAACCCAAACCATTCCATGATTCTGTGATTCAGAAGGAGAAGTTGTTTCTGGTTGGAGTGTTTCAGTGTAGTTCTGCTTCCAGCCCCCTCCACTCCCCAGGATTGATGTATTGTAGCACGTACCCCCCTACTGTGTTAGTACAGAGCCCTGACCAAATGTCCTTTTCTTGTAATGCTGGATAGGAGACAGCATTAAGAGGTCAGACAACTGGATTTTCTGCAGTCCAGGCTGCTATGGATGAGCAAACTCCTACTTAGTTTAAACCACTAAAATGCTGAACTTTGAGACTCGTCCATTTGGAAAGAGCTGATTCCTGGGCCACAGAAATGCCTTCCCACTAAGCAGTAAATGAAGTGAGAATGATATTGTGGTTAGACAGAAGAAACCCATTGATTCCCATTTCTGTAGTGTTTTTCATTGTACTGTACCTGTCCATCAAGCAGCTGGAAGGGATAAGGAAGAAGCACAGGTCATGCAAATCATTGTAGACTAATTATCAAGGTTTGTAGTCCTGCTATACAATCTTCTTTTTGAAAGGTGGTTGGGTTTTGGGGATGCATTTTGCTTGGACTCTCTTCAGCCAGAGATGATGCATGTCACTTCAGGCATTATGTGTTTTAATGAGCAAATGAAATTAATCCTGAAGAAAGACAGAATAACCTTCAGACTTACTTTTCCCTGACAACAGCAGCAAGTTCCTCTAGTGGTCAGCTTTTCCCTTGGAAGCTTTGGAGGAGTGTATCTCCACGCTGGCTCTATTCGTCCTCCTGGCTGAATCTGCCAGCAGGGTTGCTAGAAACCTCTTGAGTTTCTTGTGGATATCTCCTGAGTAGGAATGATCTTTATTTTCTTAATCCAGTCACACAAAGGATTCTGTGTGAGAGATTGTTAAGAATGCTAGAAACAAACAAACCAAAAAATTGCCCTGCAAAACAGGGCAATTACAGTCTTCTTCTCATCACAATGCATGAGAAATACTTTGCCTATACTATCTAATTGGCATTTAATAATGAAACTGAGTTTTCATCTTTTGTTCAGAGGTCGTGGAATCATAGAATAACCTGAGGTAGAAGGGAGCCCTAAGTATCATGAAGTCCAACTCCTGGCTCTGTGCAGGTCAACACCAAAAATCACATGTGTCTGAGGTGAATTCCATGTTCCTCTTCAGTATAAATACATACATGGAACAACCATTTTTATTTAATTTGAGCTGGGTGGATTTGAGTTATGGCAGGCATTTTTCTACCTGCTGCCCCTCTGCATCACCTCCAATTTTGTAGAACAGTCCATCGAGGGGACCTTGAGGTTGGGTGACACATGAAAAAGTCCATTTTTCATTTCACTGCACAGTCAGGACTCTGTGTCAGGCAGACCATTCACAGCCTGGTATCACCCAGAAATTTTCTGAGAATATTCTGCAAGCCATGAGTTGCAATGACAGGAATGCAAGTTAGTGTTACTACACCACACGAGGGGGTGGCGGTTTGGGTTTGTTCTTTAAAGAAAACCATTTCAATTTTTGAAATATTTCCCTCTTCCCAGACACGGGTTGTGTATTTCTGTGAGCTTGGCCAAAGGGGCTCCTCCAATTTGAACAGAATTTTTCTCTGATGAACTGTTTATGAAGCTGCAATCTGAGTCTCTCCCAATTCTGTCAAAAATAACCATAGGCTGCTTCTCCCTCTCCTGCTGTTATTCAGACTGTCTTTCATACCCTCCAACGACAGACGGCCTAGTTCATGTCTTTCCTCCTTTTTTGTATCGCTTGCCAACTCTGCAAAGCTGAAGCTGGAGGAAGACAGGTAGAAAGCCAAGTTTTCCTCACTTTGGAAAACTAGAGGAAAGCCATCTGAATTCCACAGATACATCGCTACTAGTGCAAACGTTGAAGCTTGGCTTTATTAATTAGGAGTTTCAGGAATGGCTGCATTTCAGTGGGTGATGGTTGGAATATCCTCTAGGAAACTCCTCCTGATTTCCAGAGTTTGCAGTTCTCTGCTTCTTTTGAATGTGTGAAAGAGATCAGCAAAGTAATTTGACTTTGTGTTTATCCCCTGTTGTTTTGTAATGCTTTTTCCTCTTTTTGCAACAAGAGAAATCCAGGGGATTAGGTAAACTAAATACGAAACTACCCCAACAACAACAAAAAAAGCAGGAAATCCTGTAACGGTGAAATAAATGGCACTTTCAGCTTCTGGGGGCAAAGGGGATTCAAAGTCTGGGCAGATCAGCCCTCTTTGTTCCCAATCCAGTTCGCTCCCTTTGTTTAATTTATTCTGGGTGGATAGATGACTTTTTTCCAGAGTAGTTGTTAAAAAGAGCTTCTCTAATACCTCAAATGCAGTGAGCTCTGTGCAAAGGCAGCATACACTGCCACCGAGATCTCTCTTCTTCCCCACTGTTTTCCTAAGCCGGAAAGATTTCCTTGGCTGCTTTGGTTTTGGAGTCCAAGTGCTGAGGCAAGCAGATGGCACAGGGCTACTTTTGCCTTTTGAAATGCAGCAGAAGAGTCTTGGGCCAGATCCACTATGTGCTTTTGGTACCTTGCCCCTGTTTTGATACCTGATAATTCTTGTAGGTATCAAGATCCCCTAAAACAGCTTTGTGAGTCTATGTGTGATGCCGTAGTAATCACCCTGCAGAAAGCAGGGAGAGGCACCCGTGTAACAACTAACTCAGTGTTTCCTTGTAGCCTTTTACAGACCCTTTATCAGATTAGAGGGAGGCTGCTGAGTGAACAAGGATGTGCTGTAGTTAAAGGCCAGTGTTTATTATTATCCTATTTAACATGGTAATTTAAGTCTACCGGGAAGCAAGCAGAGGAATCGGATAATGAGGCATTCATCTGCTGCATACAGGAGAGACTGGATGGGCAAGGAGGCATATGTGCATAGAGAAGGAGAAGTTACCTGGCTTGCTTGGGTACCATTTCAGCCTCAGTTTAGCTCTAAAATCAGAAATAGTCTGATGCAGGCAGGAAGGATGATTACTCTCATCCAGCAGGTCCCTCCCATTTGCTGCTCAGCAGGAGGAGAAAAGGGAGCTCAGGCAGTCCTGTAGGACTGCCACAGGACCAGAGCTGTGACAATCTGCTTGTCACACTGTCCTAATCAGCAGCAAAGACAAACTGCTTCTTGTTCCTTGCCTGCCCTTGTGTCACCACCCAGCCAATTGTAAGCTCCTGCTCCTTCAGGCAATTTCAACACATTGTGTTTGGCAAAACTATTTTAGATGCTCTTTAAAAGCTCCCTTTCAGGCAGCGCTCCAGGAGTCAGCGTTTCTCTACGTGTTTTGTCTTATTTTGTGTTTTGAATGCTCTCACAGGTCCATGTGACCATTGTTTAGCTTTTGAGATCAGGTGAGTTGCATCATGAGCACATACGCTGTTGAAACAGCAGGACTTGTGACCACAGCCATTATGCGTGTGTGTGTTAGACTAAATCTTAGTGGTCATGGCTGAGAGATATTTTGTTACAATCTTTCCTGCACTGAATCAAAAAGTGCCTTGCATATTATTTTTTAGCAGGGGCATTGTGCACCATGTGAAATTTCACACAACAAAGACTGGCAAAA